AAAACATAAATGAAGAAGATAGATAGTTTTTCTTCTTTGTGTACGTGCGTAGTGGGTTCTAATTAACTCCTGCAACGAGCAATTTTGCTGCAACCACGACTGTAAGGATTAGCTTGAGCTCCGTTCTGACAGTTGTAATAAGACGCACCTCTTCTTGAACAAGGCACGCTGTTCTTTTTTAACGATTGATAGCTTATGTATTTTGTGGTCGCCAATACTCTTCTACTGATCTCCGAGTCCATTTCTTCTTCCTCTGCCCCGATACACTCTGCTATTGAACCGTGGCAACCTGAGCCGCCATGGACTCCGCTCGTGGCCCACTCCAGGCCGTCGAGGTCATTGGTGAAGCCGGCTTGAATCCGAGGTGAAGAGATGATCACGATGAAGAGGATGAGTATCACAAGGGTTGGGAAGAGGGTAAAAGACTTGGCCATTTTTTGTTGGTCTTTCTTGGGGTTTCTTGTATTGTGTTACCCCATTCTTCCTTAGGTTAATGTTTTTATATACATGGACATGGTGAGTGCGTAGACTCAGTTTTTGTTTTTTGTTAGTGGTTGAAGCTTTCTTTTTTTATTAAGATAAAATGAAAATCTGAAATTCAATACTCAATAGAATGAGGAAATGTTTTTTGATCGAAATTAGTAACGTTTTTTTTTTCTGTTTTAAAATTTAACGAGCTTCGATTTGAAGAGGTATCTTTTTGTAGATTAAATTTTTAAAATTTGAAAAAAATATTATTTATGTATTTGCGATATATATTAACAGAAATGCCCCTTGACAATGAAAGTTGAAAATATTATACAAAATTAATGATTAATATAATGGAGAATTGTTGAGAGTGGTTGAATATTTGTTAAACCCGACACTAGTTGAACCAAAACGATTTGGGTGCATTTGAGCGGTCAAATCGTTTCTCATTATCCATTTGACTTTTCATAATCAACATTATCATTTGTTTAATGATCTGAAAGCACTGAATCTAGATGACATAATAAATTTAATTTGTTTTGTTCATTAATACGTGGATGCAAAATTACTCTTCTTCGACCAATATCAATTAGTTTTTTTTTTTTTTTTGGTAAATTATGTTACTATAACGAAGAGTCTTCTTGGTATTAAGCACCAACTATTTTTTTAACTACTGAGTTTCAAATATATATAGAAACAACTATCATGGTTCGCTTTGTTAAAAAGAGAAAGAAAACATACGTACAGTATATCGAAACAACGAAAGCTTGATTCGTTTTCCCTTGTCAACAACAACAACCGTAAAATACATGAGAGTTGGGACATCGTTATCCCAACAAAACATATAAAGAAACCTAACCCCCTTTTTTAATTAAAAACAAAAAACTAAAACTAAAATATAATCTAGAATTGTTATTAGACAAGCACTTTCAAATAAAATCGTGTTTTAAATTGATAATGTAATCCTTCATATTTGTTCTGTCTCCCCGAATCAGTATCAAAACGCGTTTCATAATCTTTTGATCCATAGGATAGGACCGCTCGTGTCATAAGAAGTTAAAAAAAAAGGTATGAAGATATAAGACTATTAGAAGTTACCTTTTTTTAAGCTTAACCTCACCTTTTTTCTCTCGTTTAATGACTATTAGAAGTTACCGAAAACGATACAAAATAGTTTTTTTTTTTTTTTCAATATATAAAAAACTTTCTTCACATACAAGTAACAATCTCATGGACTTGTGAACACAAATACACAATACAGGCCTTTTCTTCTCCTATGAGCTCTCTCTCTCTCTCTCACTAGTCTCTTCTAAAGTTTTACTTTTATGAAGATGCAATATGTAACAAAGCTTCACAGTTTCATCTTTCTAACTTGCTCAGCACGTCATCCATCGGTGGCAACTCCTTCGATATCTCTGCCCAATCTGGCATCCCCTGAAACAAGAAAAAACATAGATATCACCCAATGAATTCATCATTCAAGAACACTAAAAGAGCCAGTTTTGCATCCAGCATGAGAAACCAAGAGAGGCAAGGTTTCTAGATGAAACTTACTCTACCCGATCTGCGGACTCGACCATCTAACCGCAGTACAATGTACACGTCATCACCTGGATCAACTCCCTCAGATATCTGTTGATCTCTTATCCACCTGAACCAAACCAAACCAGAGACAATCTTTAAGACTCAAAAACAAAGTTCCCCTCTCTCTTCTATCAAACTTTGATCACCAGAAAAGGCGATGAAAGTTTCTACCTTTCCCATTCATCAGGCGAAACAGTCTCGGCCTTGAACCTGATTTCACCTTTCAGCTTCGATTGGGCTACTACCGATTGAGCCCGTGTATCAAAATCTTCCTATTATGTTAAGAAAAATCACTGCTTTGCAAAATGAGAATTAAGGTGAAGTGAATATTTGTTTGCTTTGTTACAACAAAAAATCTTTTCGTTACCCCAATTGAAGGAAGAGATGTAGCTGCCTTTGAAGAAGCTCCAAAGCCTTTTTTTTCGATTACTGGTGTTTTACGTTCACCCCATACCACAGGAACTAAGAGAACACCTCTTCTTAGGAGCTCGGTTCTGAACCTATCCGCTTTTTGCATTGCGGCTGTTACAGTCTCTTTTTTCCCAGCCAGAATAACCTAACAAGAGTGTCAATCACCTAACCGTTTCAGAAACTTAAAAGGCTAATTAACACTTGAAGCAGTGTAGCAGGATCAAAGACTCACTGGTCGAACTGTATCCCGCAGCTGCACAAGTTCAACAACTCGGTTGGTTGACAGACGTAATGGCAGCCGGGAAAGAGTTTCGTCTCGAGTTATTTGAACCATTTGTTCTTCCTCTTTCTTGTTTTCCCAAAGGAACAATGAAACCAGAACAACAATACCTGTACATTGCTGTTCCTAAAGCTTACTCACATGACAGAGGAAAAAATGGAATTTAAGATTCAAGTTGTGTTTCTGACTCACCTCCAATGTTAATTGCAGCATTTCCTGTAGTTTCCAGAAGATCTGGAGCACCATCGCCGCCTTTAAATGCCTGAATCAGTCTTGGTACGGTAAAGAACGTTGAGATACCTGCTGCTGCAGCAAATGCAAAATAAAAGAATTTTCTAACACCACGAAATGGTGCTCGTACTTCGCTGATAAGTTTTAGATCTCTCCGAAAACTATCACCAATATCTTCTCCGCCTAACCTAGCCTGAAACAATGGGAAGAATTTTTCACCAATGAGAAAGTTCTTCTTGGGATAAACAATAACATATACAAAAGGAGAGTACAAGACCTCTTCTTGAAGCTCTTTAAACTCGGGTAATGCACGAAAGGATGCTAAGTCAGGATCGTCAAGAATTGTGGCAAACTTTAGATTATAATCTTTCAAAGCGATTCTCAAACAATCAGCAGCTTTATTTCCTTCGCCCCTACCTCAAGACGATAAACAATAGGGATGAAATAGAAGAGAGAGAATAATATCATCAGGATCTTCCAAATCGTTGGATATAAGGCAGTTTCATCAGTACATGGCTCGAGGTTCTTACCGGTAAGCATGACAACATGCTTTATTATAGTAAGCAGCTTGTGACTCGATAGGATTTGGATTCAAACTCAGTGCTGTCTCAAACTGAACAAGAGCATCTTTGACCTGAAAGTATCCAACATTATGTATCAGCTGAATCAGTTAAAAACAAAATGTATTGTCTAAACTTAGGTTATTCCTCAACATAGAATCAGTCACAACATAAGACTGTTTTGCTGGCCCAAGTATCCACATACTGTAACTAGTACAAGCGATTTGCTAACTTTTTTTCAAATTTTCACATACAAACTCCCCATTAAGATCAGGAACCTAACCATCAGAAGGAAAAAAACTCATCCCATTTGTTTTGTTAGAAGCTTATATTCCATAAGATCAACTGGCGAGTGGCAAAAGTAACTAAATTTTCATCAATTTGGTTAAAAAGTTTCACAGAATCATACAAAGGTAGCAATAGGAAACAAGAACAGACAAAAAGGTCAAGCCATAAATAAATAAAAAATCAAAAAGCGACTGAAACATATTCACCTACGCAACACATTATTCGAATCAAACTCTAGAACTTACCCGTCCTCTCTTAAAAAGATCAAGACCAGTATTGACGCACGACTCAGCCGTGAGATCATCCGTCGGAGAATTTGGAGATGGAGGCGAAGACGACGGAGACGGAGAAGAAGAAGAAGAAGCAAAAACTAGGAGATGAGAATCCCAGTTCCGGCGAGAATTAAAAAGAGTAGCATCTCCTGGTGGTAGCCATGGGCGTCGTTTCGAGTAAGGGTTCGAGACACGGCGTAGGAAATGGCGGTTTAGCGACGGAGCTGTAGCCACAGCCATTCAATGTTCTCCTGCGATTCCCAAATAACCCCCAAACGTTTATCTTAAAAACGCTTCCTTTTTTTTCCTCTTTTTTATTTCAGAAAATAATATTGAATTTCCAACTTCTTCGAATATTATCTATGAATTTTTTGTGGGTGCAAATTAGCCCCAATATTGTTAACCTTGAAGCTTGACATTGTCATACAATATGTTTGGAATCGATTAGGAAACATGAATTTGGAGTTAGTGTAATAGTATTCTAATAAATTGTGTCAATTAAGCTCATTAAGCTATAATTGATTTGAAACTTAAGTCCTTCAACAGTTTGAAAATTATTGAAAGTCAACAGTAAAATTTTCTTCCTAGCAATGACAAAACTGAAGTCTGAAGTCAACTTCAAGAATTGAAAGAGTAAAAGTCAATATTCGAGAATTAAGATAACAAAGATATTTTTTAATTCATCAAAGACTCTTTATTGAAGATTACATTCAAAGCAATCACTCGGTGGCAGAAAACAGAGAGTACACACGAAAAGGAAAACAGAGGAAACACACAATTAAAAATAAAACAGAGTTTAAGAGAATTAGGGCAATGAGGTCATCGCCACCTTTATTCAGTATTGTGACTTAACAGTTTGATTCACTTAGAGAACCTTCTGAGCAGAAGGCCTGGAAGTGATGTCAGCAACCCAAGCACCGACATGGGGACGCTCGTCGAAGAGTTTCTTAGTTGGAGTACCAAGCAAGTACTGAATCGCGGGGATGGTGTGAAGATCGACCAAAGTGAAGTGATCAGCAGCCAAGTACTTGGAGTCACCAAGCCTGTGTTCGTAAACATCGAGGACTTTGGCAAACTTAGCCTCTTCTTCTTCGACAACGGCTTTGTCTGTGGTCATACCATACAACGGCTTAAGGACTTGCTCCCAAACAAGCTTTGAAGCAACTGGGTCAAACTCATGCTTTTCAATCTCCATGCCCATGGCTATGATAGCCATGTTCTTGCCAGGTGCTAGAAGGTCGTTTCCTTTGTCTGAGAAATTATGAGCTATGTATTGTGTAATTGCTCTTGATTCTGCCCAGACAAAAAATAAAATAAAAAGGGTTTCAGACGGTTTATAATTTATAGTATCGCGAGATTAGGCCTAAAGTTAAGTGTTTTGCTGTTTTACCAAAAAGCTTGAAGTCTCCATCTTCAAAGGCTGGAACTTTGCCAAAAGGCTGCAAAACAATCAACATTCAAGATTTTCAGACCAAGATTCACTAGTACAGTATTCTAAACGAAACAATCGTTTGTCATGACCAAAATGTTTTTATGTACTCACGTTGCGGGAGATGAAAGGCTCTTGCTTGTGTTCACCATCTTTGAGCTCGATATGAACGAGCTCAAAGTCGAGATTTTTCTCGTGGAGAGCGATGAGAACTCTTCTCGTGGCTATGGAAGCAGGGTGACCGAAAACTTTGATTCCTGCCATTAGTGAGTTAATGCTGTTTTTAGTGATATTAAAAGTATGAGTAGAGAGAGAGAGAGAGATCTTTGTGGTTGATGGGAAGAAATACACAGATGTGGAAGTGTATTTATACAGCTAAAACAGAGTAAACTTGGTGAATAAACAAAAACAAAAGAAAAATCTCGGCGCCACCAAGCTTGAATACTCTTATTTTGTTAAAATGATTATTGGTTTTTAAAAATCTCAAGCTGAGTAATGTATGATTCACCGTTTCTATTGGTTAAGACTTTGACAGGACGATAGTATACATTATTTTTTATTTATTTTTTAAGTATGAGAAAATATTAACCATAACGTGATAAAGACCGCAAGAAAAGTCTTGTATCTACTAATCAAAGTTTGACTGACGTTGTTGGGTTCATGTGGATCGTTGGATTAGCCACCGTGAAGCTATAGACTTTTTTGAGTCGCTCTTTGGATATCTAGAACCTTCTCTAGCTTCGCCTTGGTTTCATTCATAACCTTATAGTCCGTTTTTAGACCATACACAGACTTGATGGATTGCTCACATATATGCGAGTGGATCGAGCTCAGATACGCAAGTGCATGAAAACTGGGATATGATCAGATGGCTGCATCAATACTTCAGCAAACATATATATTAATAAAAGCGACAAACCTAAGAGGTAACAAACTTGAGATACAAGTAGCTAATCGTTAGGTGATAATTAACCCTCGTTATAACTTGCTTACTAGGTCGATAAATTTAAACACTTTACTAGTCTATAAGATTGTTCAAACTAGGTGGATTTTAATAACAGGGTTTAGAGATTAGAAGACATAAGTCACATAATAGACCAGCTAAATGGAAACCCTAGTTAAGACCTAAATATATGAAAGACAAGTGTTTATCTAATTAGAAGTGAAAATTTGAAAGGTACACGTTAAGCGTGGCTTCTTCTAGCCAGCGGCTTTGTACTCGATGGCGATGGGATCGTAAGAGAGACCTTTCGCGTGGAGAACGGCGAGAACTCGCCTTGTGTGTTGGTGGAGTTAGGGTACCTAAAAACCTTGTAACCTGCAGTTTTACGACGGAGACGGAGAAGCAGAGGAAGCGAAAACAAGGAGATGGGAATCCAAATTCCGGCGAGAGTTGAAAAGGGTAGCCATCGAGTTAGGGTTCAAGACGCGGCGGAGTAAATGGGGGGGGGGTTTAGCGACGGAGCTGTAACCACAGCCATTCAATTTTCTTATACGCTTCCAAGAAAACCCTAACTTTCATCTTAGAAACCCTTCTTTTTTTGTTTCTTTGTTGCTCTGTTTATGTCGGTAAATAATATTCAACTTCCAATCTCTTTGAATGTTATCTTGGAACTTTGGTTGGTCTAAATTACACCCAAAATATTAATTAACATCGTTGAGGTTTGCCATCATCACAGACGGTTTGGACTCAATTAGGAAAACGAAGTATAGTGACTGATGAGTTGCAGAACTAATTTGGAGTTGGTATTTGTATTATTCTAATAACTAAATGTGTTTTTGTCTAATAAGTATGATTTTGCAAAGTTAAGACCTTCATAAGCATTTAAAGTCAATGGTCAATGTCTTCCTTACAAAGCAAAAAAATGAAGTCTCAAGTCAGCTTTAAAGAATTGGATGAATAAAAGTCAATATTCTAGAATGAGATAGCATTAATTTAGTAGCTTAACTTGAAGATAACAAATATTTCATTTTTTTATTCATCAAATACTCTTTATTGAAGATTGCATTCAAACCCATCACTTATAGTAGCAGAAAAAAACAGAGTACACGAAAAGAAAAAAACAGAGGAAACACATACAAAAAGAAAAACAGAGTTTATGAGAATTAGGGCAATGATGTCATCGCCACTATTATTCAATCCTGTGATAGTCAGCTTGATTCACTTAAAGAACCTTCTGAGCAGAAGGCCTGGAAGTGATGTCGGCAACCCAAGCACTGACATGGGTACGCTCGTCGAAGAGCTTCTTAGTTGGAGTACCGAGCAAGTACTGAATCACAGGGATGATGTGAAGATCAACCAAAGTAAAGTGATCAGCAGCCAAGTACTTGGAATCACCAAGCCTGTGTTCGTAAACATCAAGGACTTTGGCCAACTTAGCCTCTTCTTCTTCAACAACGGCTTTGTCTGTGGTCATACCATACAACGGCTTGAGGACTTGCTCCCAAACAAGCTTTGAGCCAACTGGGTCAAACTCATGCGATTCGATTTCGATGCCCATGGCTATGATCGCCATGTCCTTTCCAGTTGAGAGAAGGTTGTTTCCTTTGTCTGCGTAATTATGAGCTATGTATTGTGTAATTGCTCTTGATTCTGCCCCAGACAAAAAATAAAATAAAAAGGGTTTCAGACACTTTATAATTTATAGTATTGCGAGATTAGGCCTAAAGTTAAGTGTTTTTGATGTTTTACCAAAAAGCTTGAAGTCTCCATCTTCAAAGGCTGGAACTTTGCCAAAAGGCTGCAAAAAATAGGAAAATCAGTATTCAAGATTTTCAGACCAAGACCTAGTACGTAGGAAGGAAACAATATTTTTGTCATGACCAAAATATGATGTGTACTCACGTTGCGAAAGATGTAAGGCTCTTGCTTGTGTTCACCATCTTTGAGCTCGATATGAACGAACTCAAAGTCGAGATTCTTCTCGTGTAGGGCGATGAGAACTCTTCTCGTGGCTGTGGAAGCAGGGTGACCGAAAACTTTGATTCCTGCCATTACTGAACTAAATGCTGTTTTTCTTTTAGTGTTGTTAAGAAAAGTATGAGTAGAGAGAGATCTTTGTGGTCGATGAGAAGAAATACACAGATGGGGAAGTGTATTTATACAACTAAAACAGTGTAAACTTAGTGAATAAACAAAAACAAGAGAAAATCCTCGGCGCCACCAAGCTTGAATACTATTAATAATTTTGCTAAGATGATTGATTATTTCAAAAGTCAAGCTGAGTAATGTATGATTCGCCGTTTCTATTGGTTCAACACTTTAATACTTTATTTATATAGAAAAATGGAGTTTTCAGTCGTATAACGTTTATAAAACTATTATAGTGGGAGAAAAAAGCAACCACCGTTTGATAACGACCACAAGCAAGAATGGTCATTCTCATCTACTAGTCAAAGTTTGACAGATGAGGTTCGTTGGATGTTCAGATTAATTAAAAGGATTTGCGTCGATGTCCTTGCAACGAACAAAAACAATCTCCCTTTCACACTTCTGTGACAATAGGCAGAGCCAAAAAGAAAAAGAAAAAAAATATTGGGCTGCGTATTTTTTTCCTTTCAAGTACATTTACAAAGTAGGGGTCAATAAAATATCAATCATGTTGAAGCAAATTGGTGGACGAATTATATAACTAACTAACTAAATCGTGCTTACGAAAATATACATTTACTAACCATAGTTCTTCTTTTTAATTAACCAAAAAAACTATTCTAGTACGGTTGATTTCTAATGTGTACGACAAGGAGAGCAAGATAACCATAATTAATTCAGTTACTGTCGTGAAATATGCAAAAGTTTAATTATGAAAGGAACTTGCATGAATACCCTTTATTCATTACATCAAACTTTGATTAATTATGAAAGACATTTGCATGAATACACAATGTTCTTTGCTGATCTCATTAATTCTTCTTCTTACCGTACCAAGCCTTTACATCACATGCCTTCTTCCAAGCCGGTCTAGCTGTGATCTCAGCCACCCACCGGTGAACGCTTGCCCGGCTTTCAAACAATCTCTTTGTCTTTGTGTCCATAAGGTATTGTATATTTGGAAGGTGGTAGAGATCAGCCAACGTGAAGCTGTTACTAGCCAAGAAGCTAGACTTTTTGAGTCGTTCCTCGTATATATCTAGAACCTTCTCTAGCTTTGCCTCGGTTTCATTCACAACCTTATAGTCCGTAGACCGTAAGTAGGCTTGATGTATTGCTCAAAGGCCAGTATTGATGCGAGTGGATCGAAATCTAAAGATTCGATATACATCCACATTCTTTGTGTTCCCATTGTTTTGTAGCTTTCGTAGTTCAGAAGTTGTGAGCCTTTTGATTGATGGACATTCGCAATGTATTCGGATATAGCTCGAGATTCTGAGGAAGACAAATTAACATCAAAATTCGTCTGAAAGCAAATTCAAGAGGGTTGTTTATCATCATAAGTCTAAAAAACTCACCAGACAACTTAAGATCCCCGTCTAGTAAAACTGGGACTTGACCGAATGGCTGTAACAATAATACAATAAACACATTGTTAAAGTAAACACAGCTATGATGAACCTAACTTAAAACACAAGTAAACTAATCTTGTTTTAGTAAATCATTAGCCCTCGTTATAGCATGCATATTTACTAAGTCGATGATTTATTGCTAAGTAGGGTTTACTACTTAGCAAAATATATATAAACTTGTTCGAAATACGTAGAAGATCAGTAAATAGATTTGAGATTAGAAGATGCATGGTCGTTTTAAACAAGAAAATAGATCAATTAAATGGAAACCCTAATTTAAGACGTAATCATTGAAGCATAAGTAATCTTAAATAGATGTGAAAAATACATTGAGAGAGAGAAAACTTGGCTTCTTCTGGTCACCGGCTTTCAAGTCGACGGTGACGGGGTCATAAGAGAGACCTTTCTCATGGAGAACGGCCAGGACACGCCTTGTGTTGGTCGAGTAAGGCCACCCATAAACCTTGTACCCTGCAATTTTACATTCTCATCATGTAGTATACGAAGAAGATAGAAACCCTAAAACCATCAAAGTTTATATATTTTCATTGGCCAACTGATAGAAAATATTTATTCTATATGTGTTGAGTAGGTATTAGTGTATTACCATCATTGGGAGCTAATTCTTGACACCGTTTATAGCATTGGTGACGACTCTCGAACGTCTGGTTACAATGATGGTAGCAAGTTGTCCGTACATCGCTCGCGTTCACGCCCATCCCTACGACTCAATTATATATGAATATTCAAAACCATTACATTTATACATCATGTGTGATAGCGCAATGTGATAAACATAAAAAAATTGAAATAAATAAATAATTACATTGGAGTGGTTCAGAAGAAAGGGCCATCATAGCTACGAGAGCAAAGAAAATCAAGATTATAGAGGAACCCATCTCTATACAAAATATGTTTTTTAGACTATGGAGGAAAGTGTTTTTGTATTTCTATCTTGAGATATACGTTTGGTGTATGTTCCTTACTTCCTTATATAGAGCTTCAAAAGAAAAAAAGAAAAAGAGAGCATGCATCAGAAGATGTATTCGTCGTAGTTAAATTACTTAAGATTTTGGCATTAAATTGTAGATTTCATTTGTTAACCGTTTTTAATTTATTTATTTGTCCTCTTTATCATATTTAATTTGGACTTTTTGCATGTTTACCCTTTCTTTGGTTTGTCAGTTTGCGTATTTTAAAAGGTTTCAAAATCGATATATAGAGGGTTTAATTGTTAACGAGAGCCAGGTACGCGTTTGATAACCTATAACTTTGAACTGACAGAGAGTTGTGTAGCCAACATTGACATCGACATAGTCTGACGATACTAGTTTTTTCTCCGCATTTTCATAATTCTACAAAACTTATTAGCTGATTCTTAGGTTCTATATATTTATCTCTTTAATGATGCTTTATTTATATACGGGATCGAAGTTATTTACAAACAAAACACAAAGCATATTTACAAGATTCAACACGTAACAAACAACACAAGCTTACAAAGAAAAAGATACAAACACAGTGACACACAAAGTTTACTTCTGCTTTGATTTAGTTCTTAGCTTCCTCTGCTTATTAAACCAAGATTTCTCTTGATCGCAAGCCATCTTCCAAGCCTCTCTACTCGTGATCTCATCCACCCACTTATGCACTTTAGGTCGATTTTCGAACAATCGTTTTGTTGGAGTCCCCAAAAGGTATTGTATATTTGGTAGGTGATGGAGATCAACCAAAGTAAAGCTACTGCAAGCCAAGAATCTAGATTCTTGGAGTCGTTTCTCGTAGACATTTAGAACCTTCTCTAGAATAGCCTCGTTCTCTTTGACAACCTTATGGTCAGTCTCTAGACCGTAGAGAGGCTTAATGACTTGTTCCCAAGTGAGTTTCGATGCGGGTGGATCAAACTGGTGAGCTTCTATTTCCATCCACATTGTCAGTATTGCCATTGTCTCGTGGCTTTGAAGATTCAAGAGCTGTGTGCCTCTTGGGCTATGAACATATGCAATGTATTGTGTGATGGCTCGAGACTCTAGAAGAAGAAAAAAGTCGAATTTGATACAAGTCAGAAAAATCGACTAACTATAAAAGCAATTCTTGATCAGGTTGTTGTTAATTAGTGTGTGAGATTAAACTTACCAGACAGCTTAACATTTCTTTCTTCAAAAACGGGGACTTGACCAAATGGCTGCATCAATAACATCATTGTTAAAACTTGAAATTCCTTGTGCTAAAAGTAACTAACCCCTATATGAGAGTCAAAACCTTGCTACATATAACATATTCATGTATGTGTTGATCATTCGATCTATAAAAGGATTAAAACTCCATAACATGATCGATATATAGTGGAGCATAATTAAACCTAGATTTAACATGCATTGATGATACTAATTTTCAATAATGCGATATAAAATTACGTACGTTGAGAGAGAGGAAAGCTTCGGTTTTGTGTTCACCGGATTGCAATTTGACGGTAATGGGATCGTAAGAGAGTCCTTTCTCATGGAGAACAGCGAGGACACGCCTTGTGTTGGTTGAGAAAGGATCGCCATGAACCTTGTAACCTGCAACTTTCATTTTCCATTTTGTCTTTACATTGGAAGAAGAAGAAATTTGAAAACTAAAACCAGAATAATATGAAATCACATTCTCTTTAATTTATTCTTACTTGAAGTCAATATAGGAATTATAAAAAATATTACTGAAAATCAAAAATCTATTTTAATATTAATCTTAATATTATTGTTACAAACTTATAATATTAATCTGACCTAGTTTTTTGACTTCTGCCTCACGCTTCCAGTTTGGCAATAACTTGAACACCATCTGTAAGCACTCCATAATGTATTAGATGATGATAAGACTTATTTGTGCATGTAAAGCTCTTCGATAAATACTAAAAGTTGTAAGCATTTTTCTTTTGCAATTCAAAAGCGAGGAATATTTTGCTTTTCTCCTAGGATGCATGCACGTAAAGAGTCCACCTTTCTTGTGTATCAAGAGATTGTTTGTTCCAGTGATACAATTGAAAATATAATCATGCTTTCTTTTGAGATTTACCAAAGCACAAGACAGGAATCAAACCAACAAAGAAGTTTTATGGATAACTAAAACGAGTTGAACAATTGGTAAAAACTGATTTCCAGTATTCTGCCATTTTTCTTTTAAGTTTCCAAGATTCTGCTATTTCTCAATGTCCTTAATTCAGAGCTTTATTTATCATTTTTATACGCTGTGACGAAATCATTTGCAACTTTTGCACATATTGACATTTGTGTGATTTACATTACAAACTTGAGAAATATGAAGACAAAATAATCACATCATTGGTTTTCTTCACTTCCAATTCCTTCCTGTTGAAATTGAAAAAGCTATCATCACAAAAGATCACATGAGATAAGAGTCTATAGATAGAGTGGAATCAAAAACTGACCATGGGGCATGTAGTCGGATACAGCTCCCGATTTCGATATCAACATCAGCGCAAACCTTAGGACTAAAGAGAATTGTTGTTTCTGTCTCGTTGGCCGCAAGAGCTTGTGTGTTCTTGAGCAATACGGAGTCCTACAAAATCAAATGTGTAAGCGACTCAATCAGTGCTTATAATAATCTTATTGATAGATCTTCAAAGGAACTGCTTTATTTGATGTGTCAAAGAGATGGAGGGAGAAACCCCAGAAATGTCAATGACAGAGCATTTGCAGACAACAAGCTTTCCCTCCAAGTGTCTTGACATGATTTTTACATCAACATAGCTCGACACATCTGAGTAGGGTAACAAGATATACGTAAGTATGAACCAGATTGTGTTTATATGGGAGTTACAAAGCAGGGTTACCTGGTTGTCCAATTCCCCCCTGCAATTTCTTTGTGATTTCCATTTCCGTCTCTTTTTCTTGTTTCATGATCTGTTGTAGCTTGCCATACAGACTAGAGCCACTGCAAATTGATGCAAGAAAGAATAGGTTTTGATGTTAAGTCATATTTGTGGTTTTAAGCGTGGTGCCTAAAAAGTGTCAAGGGTTAGATTACCCAGATAATTTAGGTGAACCAAACAAGAGACTTTCCTTGCTCAATGAGGAAGCTTTCATTGCTTCATCGAACCGGTCTCCAACAAATTGTTTCTTCTGGTTGGAAATGTTCGGTACTGAGGTTTGATAACTAGGCTATGTAACAAAACAGTATTATTTAGATTGATTGTAGGTTGAGGAGACGGAGATTACCCAAATCACAAGAAAGGAAGAGAACAAAACCTCATCATCGCTTGATGATCCACTATCCATGGGTCCAGGTAGTTCGTCATCAGTATCACTATCTTGAAAGTTATATGAACTTCCCTTATGAGAAAATTTCTGAGTTTTTCTTTCATGTCTGCTGTACTGGAGCAGAAAGGAGGCCAACATATGAAACAGAGAACAGAGTAAAGTAGCAAATCAATTGCTAAACCACTGAATAAACAAAATTACCAGTTTAGAGCTTCTTTTTGTCGGTCTAATCCTACGTGAAGGAATGTCTAAAAGCTTGGGTATAGCATCCTCAGTGTACCCATGCAGAACCTCTCTTGAGTCAGTAACAGAAATAGCCTGTCTGCTTTCTGATCTTTCATCAAAATCGTTTGGGCATTCAGCAATTGGATCCTCTTCTATGGCCTGATCAGCAGCAGGCTCAAAATTTTCAGCCATATCACTTATCTTGGATGACGTTTCTCCAAGAGTATGTGAGTGAAACGAAAATTTTGGCCTCACATGATCTTTCACGACTGCAAAGACATTAGAAACCCAACTCAGAAATTTCAGAAGTTTATGCACACATAATTTGTTTCTTTGAGTTTTGAACGAATAGTACCTTTACTACCTCTCTTGGCTCTGAAGCCAGATACATGAGATGATGAGACTGAAGTAATACCATTCAAATAGACTAGTGACTTGGTTTCTTTACTTATAGTGGACCACGTTGCCTCCTGTTCGTCATGTTGAATCTGAAGGAAACAATAATCATCCTTACGAAAAGTTCAAGTACAGTGACTCAATAGCGACCCAAAAAAGTTGAAGATTAGATGGTAACCTCATCATCTGACCCACTTTCCTGAGCAGATAAGCATGTTAATCTGGCTCTCCTGGAAGAAGCAAGAATACTCTCCTCAGGGGAATCAGGAACATCAACGTCATCCTCAAGAGAGGACGATATCTTCCGTATCTAAGAATAAAAATCTCCCATCACAATTTTGAAACCATTTTTTCCCAGGAACAAGAAGCTGCACAAAAGAATTTGAAAACGTAAAGCAAAGACTCACAGTTGCTTCCAGAGGTACAACACCGGTTTCCCTAGCATAATTTAGTTCACCACAACCTGGAAACACCACGGAAGCTCTTTGTGAAAACACTTCCCTAAA